TCAATGTTGTATAAGACACCAAGTGGACGGAGCCAGGCTGCAGAGTCAGCCTGACCCAGAGATGAACATTGTCTCCACCACTCCCAGCCTAAGGGATCCTCAGCAAGTTGCTCCCTTTCTCCTGGGCCTCAGAGACACTCATTCTACAGGGCTGGACGGCAAGTGGACTGCTGTCTCTGCCAGCATCTTCACAGTGAAGTGATACATTGCAGACTAGCATCTCACTTTAGAGGCCAGGGCCTGCCAAACCCAGTAGCTAAAAAGTAGTCATTTACCTGCTTTAATTTCTCATGGTAACTAACATTTTCTGTTCTTTATAGTTAGTTTTTCAGTAGCAAATGGGGATAGTGACTGAGGATTTCTGACAGATGGACAGATGCAGAGAGCAAATGCTATGCATATGTGGAGTCTGATACCTTGCAAATCCGAGAGGAGGCTTAAACTACAGCAAAATGGAAACTGTTTATCTCTATCTCAGCATGAGAAACATGCACTTGGTTCTTTTAAGTTGGGTCTTACCACTTTATCATCTAGACTTAGGGCAAGGGAAAATTCCTATTATCCTTTGCTTTGGAGACATCTACTGTAACACACAAATTTTAACCCCAAAGTCAGCTCCTCTCTCTCTGGTGCAGAAATAAAAATCACCTTGCGGTAACGACTGCCACCTTGTGGCCATATATGAAACTGTCACTAGGAAAAATAGATGGCCCATGTTAAAATAAAGGCTTCACCGGCTGAACACTGTGGAAATAACATGTGGACACTAATATTTGGGGATACTGTAGAGTCTATATTTTCCTGGAAAATTTTGCATTGTATATTCTATATTTATTGGTCTCCCAATCTGGTCCAGGTTAAGTTCTTTTCTACTACAACACCCTCTAATTGTTGGTAAGACCTCAGACTGCTTCCATAGAATCACGGGGATTTCCTTCGGTAGGTAAAAGTCCCCTGGAGTTGGGTAGGTGACACTTCTTTATTTGTTCATTAGAGTAACTTGAAGCAGCCACTGCACAACCATGTCAGTCAACTGTTAATATCATCTAACCCAATGCCATAGAAAACCATCTGCACTTTGGTGCAGCCCTGGAAAGACGACCTGAGTATAGCCCAGTCCAGCTCATGGAATGAGGTGAGCCTGAAGCTCAGGCGGGTGACCAGTACCACCCATCAGTCTTGCCTTCTTCACAAGGGTGTTCTCAAGCCCAGAGCTGTCACCCCACTCTTCTCTGGGAAAACAGCTAGATGAGGGCCGATGAAGGGCTTTAGGTGGACAGAGCACAGAGCATGGGAAATAGTGTTTTGGGGATACTCTGGGTAGCAGTGGAGAATGGGCAGAACCGGAGCTCTGAAGGAACCATGGACCCGGAGATGGGAAGCAAGAATCAGGGGAAAGGTGGTAGGGGCGGCATGGACTCCAGGGCTCCTGGAGCCACCGAGGACTCTGATGAGGAGGGCGTGGCCTCAAAGAGCCTAGACCGGGCCTCCCTGGTGGCGCAGTGGTTGAGAGTCCGCCTGCCGATGCAGGGGATACGGGTTCGTGCCCCGGTCCGGGAGGA